TACAGAAAGAATTTTAAAAGTGAATAATTTTAAAAAGATTTAATCCCATAGACCTGCTCTACAGCGTTACAACAATTTTCTAGAATCTTTGCTATAGAATGGAGTATTGGCAGGAAAGTGAACAAAGATTTTCTAATGTAAAACTTTGTCTTTTATTAGATCTCAGGATGCTAAGAATGCCTCAGAAGTATCAATCAAAACAATTGTTTCGTTTTTGAGATATTCAACATTTAACAAAATCGATTAGATTTCAGAAATAATGAGCAAAAATTGAAAGTTAATGGATGTTGAATATCTGAAGAAGGAATCCATCGTTTTGACTGATACTTTTAGAATATTCTTAAGATTATGAGATCTATCAATAGACAAAACTTCAAGAACTCAGTAAAGCTATTGTCACTCTGTGGAGAAAGTTGATGAGCTCCCACCCTTTCAAGGATACTCCTCCTCTTTTTTGACCAAATCTGGTTCTCGAAGAGGTTACAACCGATTTGCATGAAATTTTTACTACAGGTGAACCGCCTGAAATAAGAAGACACATGTTCAAGGTAAAGATTTTAAGCAAGGTTTTTGTGATTTTCCATAGAACCAGATTGGGCTTGCTCACGACTTTCGCTCTAAATTTCTCCGACCGAACTGAAAATGTTTTGAAGACACCTTCGACTATATGTCAGAAATGATTTTAATCTTTTTTCAAAAACATTGTTTGGTTCTTTTTTATGAGAGAAACACAAAGGTTCGCACCCAAAATCGAAATGCTTGCGCTGAAGACTCTATAAATTCGGATTGAACGGTTAAAAACATAAATGGCTGATTTCACCTCTAGAGAAATACTTCTAATTATTTTTAGTCTGAACCTCAGATCGATCAGACAAAGTTAGAGAGAGCCGTAAGCAGGTCCGATGATTTTAAAGATTCTATCAAAAACTCATGAAGATCTGCTCTAAAAAATTTTCCTTGGACATAGATGCCATCATTTATGATAATCTAGCTGTGATAAAAATATGACTTAAACGGATTGTATTCTCAGCAAGAATCACAAGTAGTCCAAAAGAGAGGATGAACACATTTAATATTATTCTATTCTAGAATTTCTCTTACTCAGAAACGTTGCAACACTTCAGACGATTCTCTCATGAACTATTGTTCACTGCTTTATCAAATTTGTTGAGTTGCAGCTGACTGTCTCATTGTAAACTAAGACGGTCAAATAAAAATATTAGTAACTCCAGCTTGAATACATATGAAGCACAACTAGAGTCGAGTGTTCAATACAAAAAGAAAAGAATATCTTTGTCAACAATAGTAATTCAATCACAATGAATTTGATTTAATAGTTCGATTTTCAATAAAGTCAAAAAGAGAAAAAGCTCTGATCTAATACAAATCAATAAACACACTAAGAAAATATACTATCTGACAGAATGATGTACACAATCATTATAAGACTTTATCTTAATCTATATTTACATAGATCTTCTTTCTAAATTATTGAAAGATTACAATATAATATTTCTTACATAATAATTTCGAAATAATAATTCATATTGCCTTCGAAAACTTCTATTAATTTTCATAATAAATATTTGATCATCTGAACTATTCTGTAAACCTCTTGTACCACTCATTCGATTTTCTTCACGATGTAAATTTATAAGTATTTCTTTCATATTGACATCAGTCATACCATGTGGTGATCGGCCATGTATATAATATCCATGATAATTTTCATCAAGAATAAATACACTAATATTTGATACAGCACATAGATCAATAAAATTAATTATTTTATCTTCAACTATACGTTGATAAAAAATTGTATAAACCAAATATTGAATAAGAGCTAAAATTAAAATAAATGAATATCAAAATAATATAAAACACTACAGATGCATACCAGTTCCAAGTAATATACAAAAGCCAACAGCAGTACGAAAAATCGGAAAATATTGAGTCTTACAGGTATCAAATGAAAATACAAAAATGTCACTTTGAGCACAAGAAATATTTTCAAGATTGATCCCCTATAGAATAAGTTTTTAGATAATATTAAAGTAGAAAAAGAAAATTTACTTTAAGAAACAATAAAACAAAAAACAGATGAAAGGAAACATTTATACGACGAAAAGTTTGTAACTCATTAAATTCATTTGCTGCAAAATATGTTCGCCAAACCGATATAGTATTGGCATTACCTAAAAACAATTAACAATCGTTTTTGTTTTTAAATTCTTCGTATTTAATAATGAAAAATTATATATAAATAATTAAAAATATACCCATTAACCTGTTTTTGATCTTTCCCAATCCATAAAAAATATTTCTATTCTTGATTGTCGTATGATTAAATGAATAATATCAATTGTTTTCAATATAAATGCAACAATCAGAAAGATTTTCAACAATGTTTGCAATTCATTTACATTTGTTTGAGAAAGAACGTCGTATTGTCTCTAAAAAAAAATAATTAGGTATGATATTCACAGATAATACAATTTAATTTAACTTTAAACATAATAAGACTGTAAAGTGAAACACCAGCTGTAACAAGCAAAAGAACGGTACCAATTATTCCCACTATATGCAAGATAAATTTGCCGATTGTCTATTAAGATAAAACTGTATTTAAATAGAATAACAATTAATTCTTACTGGTAAATCGATTATTGCTCTTCCAGATCTAGAAAACCATTTCCATGTTCGTATAAAGGCAAGAATAATTCCTGCACCTGATAACGCTCCAAAAGAAATGAGAGCATTACGACGTTCAGATTCCACATCCATTCGATACTAAAACGTTTTCTATTAGTTATTTATGAGCATATGTCTGTGTGATTAAGAATAAAAAAAACATGATGGTAAAATGAGAAAGTGAGATGTATATGCATACTTAACAAAAGCAATACTAAATACACATAATCGATAAGAACTCTTTCTGACTAACCTTCTTCTTCTCTTCTCTCTTTTTTTTTCATTCTTTGCCTTCAATCAACTTGTTGATAGTAGTGATAGCAACTAGTTACTCAAAACGTTGTAGACAATTCTGACCTCTTCTATAGATCATAAATGATAGAAATTTGTTAATCTGAACCTTTTAAAAAATATCTCGACACAATATTCATACTGTAACTACATATCTATAAATGAGTGGGGTGAAAAAAACTCATGCATATATAGCATTGTAAAAAGAAGAACATATGATACATTTCTTATCATTCAATAGTTAAACGTATACATGTATGGTATTAGCAGAGAAAGAGATCTTACGTTGAGATTAAATAATAAAAATGGATGTAAAAAAGATTTGTTGGTATTTTATAAGTAACTTTAACAATCGATGGAAGTTGTCTGTTATCAGAATGATTTAAAATAAGAGAAAGAACGGCATTTTGAAATATGAGATATCAATGATGAATAAAATATGAATGAAAAAAAATACCACTTGGTTCGAACAAAAAAGCAAACAATCTTCAACATGATCAAATTGCATGATATATGCGCTTGAACTTACATTGATAGAACAAGATTTCAATGAATAAATCAAACGTATATCTTAAATAGAATGAAAAAGAGAAAAAAAAACTAATTTGTCTCAGTTTAAAATTTATATCCACAATTTTGAGTCTGTATAAAGTTGATGAATTAAAGGACATACACAAGTAGAAGACTTTGTTTTTACAGATTTACTTAATAATGCGTGTCTTTTAAGATCGACTATCATTATTGTGGAAGCACTTATAATTATGACTTTGAAATGACGAGATTGACTTCATAAAATGAAAATAAAAGATTGCAAAAATGATGAAACGTCACGAGTCAATAGATTCTTTCTCATCTTGAAGTTTATTTACAACACTTAAACTAGATAGCATAGAGACTAAGTTCATGATGTGAACTTAATACGAAGTACATTCTGCGAACGGTATTCATCGTTTACGAAATTATAAAAGTGTCGAATTAATCAAAATATCATGTTTAGCGAAAACAACATGTTTCTATACTGTACAAAGTAGCAGGGTGTGGAAAGGTGAAGAAAAAATCCACACCGTAAACAACAGTTATATTTCATGTGTAGTTATAACGATTTAAGTTTCGTTCTAGAACACGAAACTAATGCATGCCTTTTAAATTTCAATTACTAATCTTCGACATGAAGAAAACTTCGAAAGATGGCAGCGATATTCGATTTAAGAAAAATTCACTGTTGCTGCTGAAACTCATTTTTACGGTGCGAAACACAACATCTATGTAGTTGATCGCGTACACATTTTATGTCCATACATCGTGTGTTTCTTGCTGTAGTTAAATCTAGGCATAATGTTGCCATACTCTAGAAAACAGCAAGCTGCTAGAAATTTGTTAGGTAAGTTTCACAAATAATGAAAAACTTCGATAGAACAAGATCAATTCTGAGTAAAAACGTTCATTGTTCTTGTCTTCATTGAAATCTCATTGTCAAAATTTGAGATTGCTTCGCACTACATTTATGTAACCCTGCAGAAGTTTCCTTCTTTTTTTTTGCTTGCTAGACCTACACATTCTAAGTTATTATTTTCAGTCGTGATTATCTTGAAAACGAAAAGTCAAAACATACTAGTTCTAATGTGAGAATGAAATTATATAATCGAATCTATTATATTTGTTTTTGAACCTGCAATAGTATGTCCCATGTTCTTAAAGAAAGCCAGTTAAAGGACAAATTTTTGTGAACTTAACTATTTGTTTCAAGCTTCAAGATAATTAAAACAACAACAAGCTGTTTTATTCATCAAAGCTGTATAGACAGGTCATAATGAATCATATAGATAATTAATTCACAGCGCCCTCTAAAAATATGCTGATACACGCCGATGAAATTCGCATAGTAAAGAATTTTTCTGTATCTGCTTTATTGTTTCTTTTATATGTCGATCATATGACTGGTTGAAACGTTGGGAATTCGAGTTTCTGATAACAGCAACACGAAAAGAGCTCGTTACTGTGAACTGTAAATATCTGGAACAGTAAATCATTGCATAATTAATCGTAGAAACGATTATTCGCTTTTTATGAAATATTGATTCTTTCGATGATCGACAATCGTAGCTTTGCGCTATAATAATGAAGAGAAACTATTACAAACAGCACAATTCACAACGAATATAGAGAAGATAGTTTATCACAAGTAACTTTTCTTCTCATAAAAGAGCAAATATTCTCTAATTAAATAGACAATAAGATTGATTTGAAAAATTTTAATTTTTTGCTTATTGCTAATTCATTAAACTTTGTAGTTCATCAAAAATACCAAACTCACTCATTTTAATGCTTCGAATCATATATCTATAGTAGACACAGAAAGAAGGCTGAAGAGACTACTCTCGAAATCAATACGTTCCGATGAATGTATTTAAGAAAATTTAAATGATTACATCAAAAACTATTGATTGATAAATATTTGAGGAAAAGTTCACAAGTGATTAAGATCGATAAAATCATAATCTAATAATTTGCTTTTCTTTACATCATCAACATATTTTGCCAGAAAAGCATAAATAGCACCATCTAAAGCCTTTCCGGCATAACCCTCGTCTGAGCGACTGTTTGTGAAAGCAACAATAATTAGATCTTTAGCAGGTGCCATTAAAAATACGGTACTGTGTCCAAAAGCATCTCCATCATGTACTAATACTTGACCAGGTAAAGCCCATGCCAAATTATGTACTGTAACTCCGAGGCCATAACCGTCAACACCTTGATAAGGGCGTTTTAATTTAACTGCTGTGTCTTTACTTAAATATCCAGTATTTTCAGCTATTATGTGTGCGTATAAAAATTTAGTCCAATCATGAAGTGTACAAGCAACGAAACCAGAAGGAGCTGACAATGCATATTCAACATGAAGTATTTGTGGATGAAGCATTGGACGTGGAATAGGTTTTGTATAATTAACAGGTAATTCGTGACCGATAGGTGCTTTAGGAAGAAGACTTTCATCATAAACTGGACCAATTCTAGCACTAGTCATTTCCAATGGAATAAAAATATGTTCATAGATTAATGATTCCCAATCTTGACCCGTTACTTGTTCCATCATAACAGCTGCAACTGTATAACCTGGATTAGAATAGAGAAATTCGCCAGGTTGTACTTCAGGTGTATCTTTTAGAACAGTTTCAACAACCCATCGTCGAATTTGACTAATATTACCTTGTTGATAAACAAAAGCTAAAATATGATACTTATAAAATGTTGTAGTTTGTTGAACACCAGCACGATGTGCTAATAATTGCTCTAAAGTAGCATTTCGAAAAGCACTATTGAAAGTCTCATAATTTGGGAAACATTCATGAACTTGAGTAGACCATGACAGAAGTTTTCGATCGACTAAACGACCAGCTAACGTGGCTGTCATCCATTTAGAACATGAACCAATATTAACAGGGTCAGATATTAGAAGAGGAGCAGGATAATCTTGTCGACGATATCCAGCTGCTCCTTGTCCTACGATTTTACCATTTTTCAAGGCTAATGCAGACAAACCAGGCATACGTTGTTGCACACGAATATGTTCCAAATCACCAGATATATCGTCAATATTAGTTGTAACTGCATAGATTTCAAATTGTTGAAAAGAAAATAAGATAAATATAACAAAAATTACTTTTTGAATAACTTTAGAATGATAATACATCATTGATAAATATCGAAAATGTGATAAAAAAAGCAACGAAATTTTTTGCTTGTGATTTATTTATATCACACTTACTTTGTATATGTCGATGCAGAATAATATTTGCACAACGTCATAGGTAGCTTAATCTCTATTCTAAATAAATTATACAATGACACAACCAACACAAATAAAAAGTTGTATTCTGGTGTTTTGCAGAACTGAAATTCAATTCGATTTTAATTCTCTTAAAACTAGAAATTAAAAAAACCTACATCATCAAGCCTTTCAGTGTCATTGATATATTCAAATTGATATTACTTTCGTACAAACGAATGCATCGAACCACACTATACGGAACACTGACGAAATCGATGAAGATTAGTCCATCATTTTAATGACGGTCATATATAAATGAAATTAAGTTAAAGAAAGTCATATGTAATGTAAGAGATCGATTGAAACCATTGAAAATATTTTCCAGTAGCAAACCCATTAGATCTATAATACATCATATCTGAGGGACTAATCAAATTTGTCAATTAATAACTGTAGGCATTGTCAAGATTTACAGAATAACATGAAAGATGTGTGTGGTGTCTTTATAATTAAGTATGAATTATAGATAGTATACGGATGGCTACTACTTGGATCTAAATTTTTGATCATTGCACATTAATTGTCGCGATAAAAAACTGAACGTTAGTTTTAAATTCAAAATAAAAGAATGTAGAAATGTTTTTCAAAGATCCTTGACTACAAGGCTAGAATCTAGAAAAGAAAATTTACCTGTGTCTGCCTGACTGTTACATAGCTACCATATCGTACGCATGCTGCACAAACTACTATTGACGAATTTATAAATCACTGTGATTGAAATTAACTGATCGTATGGCTTATAAAGTTAGAACATCCAAAAATTTTTGCAGTCGTACTTTATTTCCATATAGAAAGCTTCAGGAAACTTTCTTGTTATATGTAGTGATAGTAAAAACTGCTAGATTGTTTTATATAGCATTTCATCATTTTTCAACTAATATCATAATAATAAAATTTTAATAAGAGCTTCTTTTCTATCATATATAATGATTATACTAATGACTAAAAAAACATGGCTGAGTGGATAGTTTTTGAATAACTTTTGATAGAACCTATAGATAGAGAATTGCAGTTGTTATTGTTCGGAAGGGGAGATGAAAATGTATCAAATCATAGATTATGCGTTTTCCTAGTATATTGTCTAAGATTTATTTAATTAATTTTCTAAGTATCGAAACAAATTTTGTAATAAAAAAGAAAAGAGTAAAAAGACGTTCTTCACAGAAATTGCAATAGAAATCATTTAGAGCTTCGATTAGAATACCTATGCAGGGTGTTTCATGAGTCTTGAGACATGACAAAATTCGTTTATATGGACACGCAGAACAATGCCTAACCATTATGTTTCTATATCAGCTTCAAGTATTAGTGATGACATTTGTAATGAAATATTATTGAATAACATATTCCCTTATAATAATAAAAATATAAACATCATAATGTAATGATGAATTTTTAGAAATAGACTTATAAAAATTTTTTTTCAATATGTTCTTATAAAGTGCTAAACATATTGATATAAGAAATAGCGTAGGTGTAATCAATAGCTAGTTATCTTAATCGTTTATTCGACGCTCATTATGAGCTACTAATCACATGTTGAGTCAAGCTATGTGCTCAGTAAGTGGTCTGAAATGGATAAAATATATTAACATATCACGTGTGTAACGAAAAAATTTTCGTTTTACCGGTAATGTTCATTTAGTTTCTTAATCAAAACGATTATTAAATATATACTCTAACTAATCATTTCACCAGTAGTATCTGATTAGACACAAATAAACCACCAAAAAAAAGTATATGCCGATTTATATTATTTTTTATTTTTATTGTTTTAATTCAGTTTGATCTGACTGTTTTTTTTACTTGATATTTATTTCGACATTTTCAATATTCCTGCGACATCATATGTTGTAAGTCAGCTCGGGTACATAAAGAATAATTATTTCGATCGTTCGTATTATTATTGCATCGTCAGAATTCTAGTTGGACTGTATCTGGTATTGCAGATTTCCTCGAACAATCAAACAATCCACCAAATTTAAGTCGACATACTTTAATGGAAAAAATGATTTATTTATTAGTAAAAGGATCAATTTATGATAGAAAAAGATCTGGTAGACCATCAACTACCACAATTGCTGCCTACCGAACGATGGTGTTGAAAGAAATTCAATTGAAAAATAAAACTAGTGTAAGAAATGTTTCAGCAGAACTAAGACGAAAATGTTAGAAAGCATCATCGTCTTCGATTTATAGAATTACCAAATCATCAGGATTGCAATACCTTAAAACGAAAAAACAACAAAATTAACATATGATTAGAAAATGCAACATGTTCAATGTGCCAAGAAATTAAGAAAAAATGTTGGCATTATAAAAGGATCAAGAAACTAGAGGTGGAATCAGATAACCAAAGCTGATTTTTCTGGAAAATTCACCTCAGAATCACTTTCAAATCCACATAATGAAGGTATTTGGGCAACAACTGCTGAAGAAATACTACCAGCAATCCATCCATAATCGATCAAAAAATAAAGTTGCAAGTGTGGTTGTTTTCTGGGGTTGCATTTCATATGAAATTCTGATTCCAAAAAATAGTCCCCTTGATGTCACATCGTGGTTATAGAAACAAGTAAAGAAACAATCAAGAAAAATAATTTATATGAGTGGTTGGTTATATGCCAAATTTATCAAAGAAATTGGTTATAAAGAAATTCAAGACGTATGCCGAAGACATTTTCTATCTCAAAATGATGCTGACTCCTAACAACCAACACAGATTGTATTACAAACTATCAAGAGGGTGAAGCAAAATTTGCTGACGTCTGATCCATTGAAAATGTATGGAGAATATTGAAGGGAAAAAGCACGCGTAGAACAGTTTTCAAGCTTTCAACAGTTAAGAAATAGATTGAACAAAGAATGGAAAAATATAACCTGTGATGATTATAAAAAGATGATTGATGAAATTCACAGAAGACTTAACGAAGTGATAAGAAGTAATGAAGAATAAACACATGAAAGTTAAATAAGATTTTTGCGTAATTAGATCATTTCGTGTATTTATAACGCAGACTGTGTTTCGTTTTTAATAAAATATCTTACTGATTGATTTCGAAAAATTCATCATTACATGATGATGTTTATATTTTTATTATTCTAAGGGAAGATGTTATTCAATAATATATCATTTTGGAGGACGTCATGCGTACTCGAAGCTGATATAGAAACATAATGGTTAGACATTGTTCTGTATGTCAATATAAACGAATTTTGTCACGTCCCAAGGCTTATGAAATACCTTGTAGAAATCAAGTCAAAACATAATTTTATTTCTCTTAACTCGCCAAGCCATCCTTTCGGTTCGAAATACTCAATTAATACAGGTACAATTTTTTGTTTCAGGCAAACTGTAGCATAGATAAATTCTTTTCGACATGATTTACTTTAAAAATATTGACTCAACAGAACACATATAATGATAGATACGTGTTTCATACCATCAGCAATCGACTCTCATAGATCTTCAACTACTTGAGAATGTATTCAATCGATCCTATCTCGAAGAGGGTGTGGGTTTTGTCATCACCTGTACCAAAATGCATAGCTACGCTCACTACCACAGTGACAGCCAGTCAGACACTACACACATCTATACTTTCAATGACGCTAGATTTTCATATCCCACATAACAAATGCCTTCTCTTATTTCGTAGTAGAAAAAAAAGTTCAACAAAAAAGATGTTCACAAAAAAGCGTGAAAAAAGTAGAATAGCATTTCCATTTCGCTTGTAACCTTACTACTTTGAAAAAGAATTGCCTTCTACGCGTCTTGCAAAGACGAAGTAATATTTTGGATCAGGGGAAATTTCAACGATCCTGCGAAGAAAGGTCTTTTTTTTCAGTTATTCAAAAATAAGAACGTCACAGTGCTTCCACACTATGCTTTCACTAATAGATAGCATCAATCAGCACTGTACTCATGTACGAGTTCAAGTTTGATGTTGCTGAAGAAACATAACATGATCAAAGTGACCTTATCGAAGCAAAATAGCCGAAATTTCAATACTTCTGAAAAATTTCGATGACCTAGTGTAAAAAAAACCAAACGGCTCATTTCAAGAACAAAAAAGAGAAACACATTCATGTTATTTTTCCAATACTTTATCATCCTTTACTTGGCCGTTGGTTTTCTCTCCATCCTCTGTTCACAGCTTTATCTCTCTCGTTCTATATAAAAAAGTACCGGAAAGGTGAGAAGTACAGTCATTTGTCTCATTTATCTCAATCATTCTTCCATAAAAAAGCCAGCAAGCTTTGCTTTAAATGCGGATGTGGTTGTGTGCGTGACTGAAGAGAAGGTTCACACTCACAAACGTATCAACACTCATACACATCTTTACCAAGCCAAACAGTAAAATAGTTACTTACAAAACTTTAACTAGTTCTTTAAGTCATATTTTGGGTGTAACTCTGGTAGTGTATCTCTTCTTCTCATCTGCATTTGTATTCTCAAATTGCTGCTTGTTTCCTTTTACAGAAACTAGAATCGCTTTCTTCTGTCTTTTCATAAGTAAAATAATGAAACCGTTTCTGCATTCGATTCGAAAGAAATTTTTTCATCCTATCGAACTACTTAAGTATTTCAAGGGAAAGGCTGAGCAATTTTTTCTCGAATCTATTGTATGTGTTATGCTTCCAATAGAAAAATTCATCCTGACTGTAGTTATGGTGTTGAATTCAACAAAGATTTCCAAAACCTGAGACATTGGATCAATTTCTCAAGAATATGTTTGCTTAGCTTTCACTCGACTGACGGTTATTGTTGAGCAGCAGTGTATCTGTCCGCCATTAGATACAATTAAATATACACGAAAACTCACGCTCTATTCGAAACTAATAGAATTACACTAAAACTT